TGTATGTGAACGCTACAGAGCACATTTTACTGAATGACAGCTGTGTGACACTACCTTCACATTGATAAATTGGTCCTCCTATTTCTTACAGTACTTTTTACTGGTAACAGTTGTAATGAATTAAAGATGATGGTCAACAATTTTTTGATGTTCCTCCTACCAAGGGATGGAGTTAGTTTCCCTTACGTTTAAATATGGGTTGGTTTGTAACAGTCTTATCTTATACAGATAGTAAAAGTGTCACTGTATGATTTCCAAAGCCAAGTTGAAGGCTGATTCCTTGGAATACATCTCTCTGGGACCCCTGAACTGCATGTAAGAAGTCAACTGCTCTGACATAGCCATGCTCGACAGGCCATAAAAAGGCACTCTGGGTGATAGCTCCAGCTAAGCCATTTTCTCTACACCAGATACATGTCCATAGTTTAAAAAAAAATGCAACTGCAAGAAGGTGGTGTGAAAAGTAAACATCTCCTCTCCTTGTCTCTCAATACTACTGCTTCTCCCTTTAGACAATTTCTGTTAGTTTGTTATTAATTCTTCCAAATACGTTCTGTGCATGTATTACATTTATATTTACACTTATCCATTCTTATTTACATAGAAATGCAGATATGACCTTATGCTTCTCAGTTAACAAAATATCTTGAAGATAGATCCATATCATTATATAAAGAGCTTTTGTGTTCCTTTTCATGGCTGTATGTAAGCAAAGTCTGGATGTAACCACCATTTATGTAACCGGTTCCAACTTGACTGTTTCCAGTCATTTGACATTCCAAACAATGCTGTAGTAAAAAACCTTGCATATTTGACCTAGAAGCCCAATTCCTGGATTCAAGGATATGCACATTGTAAATTTTGACGTATACTGACAAATTGCTCCTCAGAGCGTTTCCACTTATTCATACTCCATCAAATATGTAGGGAATACCAGTGCAACTAGTATTGTATACTATCAAGCATTAGATTCTTTACAACTCTGTTAGGTCAAAAATGTTTAATTGCTCTCAAATTTGCATTTATTTTATTATGGGTAGAGTACAATATCTTTTCATGTGTGATATTGTATATATACATTTATATATATATATGTTTCTGTGAACTTTCTATTTGTGTCTTTTGTCTATTTTATAGGAAGTAATCACTTGCATTTAATGATTTCAAAAAGCTCTTTAGATTTTAGTTAGCCCTTTGTCATATTAGATACATTTTTCTACTTTTTAATCTCTTTTAATATTACCTAAATTCTTATTTTTGCCATGCATAAATTATAATTTTTATTTACTCAAATTTGTCAACTTACCATTTTTTTCTTGATATTTTCTAGCCTTTCCTACTTCTTGATTTATTTTTTCAACCTAATATCTTTTATTTATTTATTTATTTATTTTAGATGCGGGGGAGTACATGCGCATGTTTGTTACATGAATATATTGCATTCTAATGGATACTGGGCTTCTAGTGAACTCATTACCATTACCAAACAGTGAACATCATACCTGATAGGTTATTTTTCAACCTTCCCCCTCCACTCTTTCCCCTTTCAGAATCCCTGGTGTCCATTATTTCCATCTTTCGGTCTATGTCTGCCACATGTTTAGCTCCCACTTAGTGAGAACATGCAGTATTTAATTTTCTGTTTCTGAATTAGTTAACTTAATATAATTGTCTCCACCTCCATCCATTTTGCTGCAAAGAATGTGATTTCATTCTTTTTTATGACTGCATAGTATTCCGTGCAGAACACATACCATACTTTATTTATCCAGTCAACCATTGCTGAACACTTAGGTTGGTTCCATGACTTCTCTTTTGTCAATGGTGCTGTGATGAACATGCAATTGCAGGTGTCTTTTTTATATAATGATTTCTTTTCCTTTTGGTAGACACCCAGCAGTGTGATTACTGGATCGAATGGTAGTTCTATTTTTAGTTCTTTGAAAAATCTCCATAGTGCCTTCCATAGAGGTTGTACTAATTTACATTCCCACCAACAGAGTATAAATGTTCCCTTTTCTCGGCCATCCACACCAACATCTATTGTTTTTGACTTTTTAATAACAGCTATTCTGATTGGTGTAAGATGATATCTCATCATGGTTTTAATTTGCATTTTTCTGATGATTAGTGATGTTGACCATTTTTTTATGTTTTTGTTGATCACTTTTCATGTGTGTGTCTTTAGAGAAAAGTCTGTTCAGGTCCTTTACCCAGTTTTTAATGCAGTTGTTGGTTTTTAAAATTACATTTCCTTCTACTGTCTTTACAGATTCAATTTTTATATTTAAATATATTTTAAACACTCTGAAAATTATAGACAGTGAAATGTACAAATATGAAGTACACAGTTTAAATAGTTTTAGCAAATGCGTGCATTTGTGCAACTCATGCAACTATCAGAGTTGAGAAAATTTTCATTTACTCCAGAAAGTTTCCTCATGCTCCCTCTCAGTTCCCTCCAAACGCTTCATTTGAAGAAACAATTTTCAGATTTCTTTCATTTGAGATTAGTTTTGCCTGTTCCTAAACATCTTATAAATGGGATCGTGCAGAATATACTCTTGTTTTTAGCCTTTAATGCTCAATATGTTTTGTTTTGTTTTTGTTTTTGTTTTTTGGTTCATGAATGTTGTTGTGGGTATTAGTAATTCACTTCCCTTTTACTTATTGAAGCTGGGTCATTGTCTGGGGTAAATACCCAAGGTTCATCATCTTACACCAAGGAAATCAAGGACACGGACACACAAGAAGTGAGTTTAAGAGTGGAGGTTTAATAGATGAGAGAAAAAAGCTCTCCTTCCTGCAGAGAGGGGTTCCCGAGTGGGTCTGCCAATTTTATGGTGAAATCCATGGGGTTTTATAGACAAGCTTGAGGAGTTGGTGTCTGATTTACATAGGACATAGGAGATTGGTCAGACCAAGTGTGCCACCCCACCCTAATCTTTTATTTTGCAGATGGGTTCTCTACCTGGCCGGTGCCATGTTTCCTGTTCCTTTACTGTACATGTGGTTGACAAAGTAAAAGGAAGGTGGAGCCTCATGTTGAACATCCAGGCCCCCAGGTAGCCTTTTCCTATTAGCACAACTGCTAGCATTCACCCGTGCAAGCATCTAGCTTGCCTTTGTCTGCAGGTTGATTTTAGGGGCTGGCTGTTCCTTATTAGAAAAGAAATGATTTGGGGTCTGCTTTTCGTTAAAAGGGAAGCCTTACTGAGGACTCTTTTACCCTCACTAACTGCCTAAATAATTTCTTTTTAGCTCCTGTATTATTATGAGTAGCATTCCATGGTATAAATATACCACAATTTGCTTATCTGTTTCTTAATGGTGAACATTTCCATTTTTCCGTGTTCTGGCTAATACATATAAAGCCATGTGAACATTCTGGCACAAACTTTTTGTAGCTATGTTTACATTTCTCTTAGGTAAATACCTAGAAGTGTAATCCATGAATGACACAATACATTTTCAATTTTTAAAACACTTTATAAGAAACTTTCCAAGTATTTTGCAATGTGGTTGTGTACGTTTATACCCCATTATTGTCGTATGAGAATTCCAGTTGGTCCACATCCTCATGAACACTTGGTGTTCTCGGTCTTATTAATGTTAGTCATTCTGAATGGTGAATGCTAGCACATTGTCATTTTAATTGCATTTCCGATAATTAACAATGTGGAGCATTTTTTAATGTGCTTAGTAATCATTGATATATCTCTTAATAAGTGTCTGTTTAAGTCTTTGCTCATTTTTATTGGATTGTTTGCCAGTTATGTATATTGTGAATATTTTCTCTGAATCTGTGGTTTCACTTTTTTAAAATCAGTCTCAAAGGTCTTCTGAAGAACAGATGCTTTTAAATTTAGTGAGTTCAGTTTATCAATAATTTCTACTACATGTGCATGTGTACTTCACACACACAAACACAGAGTTACACTTCTGATGAAAGCTACCCTGTGGATCTCAAACTTTCTATTCCCACCCAAACCATAGTTACAGCTGTTACGGCTGACGGGTTGTCATTAATCAAGTGATTAATTTCATTCACATCAAAAATGCATACACACAAATATTTGTTGTAATGAAACAGCATATTTTAGAATGCATAGTCCTTCTCATTTTGAGCTCCCACTGACAGGTGTTTTCAAATTTAAGATTATATATACATTCATTTCCAAAAGGACAGCTTTTTCTTAAATTCTTCATTAAAAGTTATTAACTCCTTGCCAGAGAGGGTGAGGACAAAGACCCTTGAACTAATATGTCAGTACCATTGCCAGCAAAGATCAATGAGGGAGGAGAAAAACATATCTCAAAAATACTATGTCAGTGAAACTACTGGCTTAAATTTACCTAATGTATACTCAGCTATCCAAGAACAAAATTTTACAGAAAGGATATACTCTCCTTCATTTCCATATCTCATTTTTGGGGCTGGAAAAAGGGGGTATTAATGCAGCCAATGGCTTATTCAGGTCACACAGTGTTGAAGCAAGGAAACTAGCCAAAGCCGCCTGCCAACATTCACCAGTGAGCACCCCACGGCATCGAGTCTGGCCATGCCAGTCATCTATCTTCGCAGCCACCAGATCTCTTGAGCTCCTGCATTTCTCTTACCCTCCCTTGGAGAACCCTACCTCCTGGTGCACACCTCAGAAATATAATCTCAGTGCTTCCCTCTGCCAGGATGACTTGGCCCAACTCAGGCATATTGATTGGAACTCAGTGGAAACTTTTGAGTCAATTTTTTTAAAAGAAAGAAAACCACCCAGGCACAACTGAAAAAAAAGAACACACACACACAAAAAAACCTTAAATTCTATTCAATGATCTGGGTTTGTGCCAGATTGGAGGGAACAACTTGCAAATTCTTCTTTAGAAGCTGTCAGAATACTTGCCTTAAATTTGCTCTGACTCAGCTCTCTGCAGGAAAGACGTGTTGCCGCAGCTGATGCATCAATAAACTGTTTCTTGTCCAAGACAAGTCATAGACTCACCTTTGATTCCACTTGACTCTGTTCAGTTCAAGAAAGGGGTGCTTGCAGTCAGAGTGGACCACCACACAACTCACGCAAGTCAGTATGCCTTGAACTGCTCAGAGAATGGCAGTAGAGCTTGTCTTCTTCGCTCCTGGATGTGTATTCATTCCAAAGACTTTGAACAAAAACAGATGTTTAGGAGAAAAGGGACAATTTAGAAAATGTCAAATCACCAGGTGCTTCTTTTTCACGATGAATATCAATTTTTTAAAAAAGATGGTGTCAGTAGCAATCCAAAACACATACAGATAAAAAATATAAGGGCATCCTCCAATTCTTTAAAGACTTATTTTTCTATAAATTGTTCTTCTGTACCCCATAGCATTGTCTTAAGTTGAAATACCAATAGCCATCTTTTATTTCTATTTGCTGAAAGACTAAGAGTAACTTATATGGAGGTAAAATATGTGTCTACCAATACACCTAACTATATTTATCACATACATTCAACGGAAATTTCAATGGAAAGCTAGAATCTGTCAAAAAATATTCAGGCTTCTTATTGCATTTGAATCTGAATCTAACAGTTTATATTTTCTTTTATGCAGTATGTGAAAAGAAAAGTTGATTCCAGATCTACGGTTTTCCTGATCATCAGAAGATTATGCACCAGAAAAAAGTAAGCAACAACTTTGTACTTAATATTGGGCAAACGAGTAGGAAGGATTTTCTAGTCCTATTGAAGAGTTGGTGTAATTTCAGGACTGGCATAAAAATAACTAAGCATTTCTTTCCTTTGTATGTATCTTCTCAAGAATGTTCATTGTTCTCTGAGCTCTTATCTGGACTCTGGATTGTAAATATTCTTTTTATAAGAAGAGTACTTTAAAATCAAAAATACTTGATAGTGAACTCTGATTCTTTCTTAAGGTTTATTATATACCACTGTGACTTATATTTTAATTTTACCCAAGCCTGAATTAAGTTGTTTGTTTGTTTAGGTTTATAATTTCTATTTCTAATCACTGAAGAGGGGTAAATTTTGATAATCAGTGAGAATTTTATCAGGGGCAGGAGTTCAGGAATGGAAGAGAGGAACTGAAATAAATTTGGCCCTCTATAAAAGCAGAAACAATGACAAAAGCCATCAAAATCAACTTGTTCAGAGCTCTGAAAGTTAATAAAAGGCAGGCAATTATTCGAGAAACATTTATTTAAGAAAAACTGCTCAACCTACATGAGAACAGGGTCTTTGTGATCTTTTAATTTGTCCATAGGAGCCTTGAATACTAACCATCTGGCAGCCACAGTTGCTACAAAAACCAGCAGCCTTGCAGCCACTAGATGGGACAGACTTGATTTGAAACTTCTCAAAAGTTCCCATCTTCAGATCAGTGTCACTATTTGACTTGACATACAGCCCAATCTGCCAGAAAAGCTCTATTTGCAGTCACTATCTGACCTGACTTGGAGCTCACTCTGCTAGAAAAGCAATACCCCCAGAGAACTGGTTAGAAACAAAGCTTTGAAAATTGTTTAGCATCACAATTTCTTGGGACTGTGATACCAATAGGACCAAACGAGAGGTTGGCCAAAAACTTAAAAGGAAGATCTGGGGAATGTGTTATCCATACAGGGCTCCAGAAAGCTCTGAAGTATTCCTGAGGATATAGAAAGAAGGCCACATACATGTGCAGAGCTGTGTGCATTCCCTAGCAACATCTGAGAGGAACCCAACCTTCCATCTCTGGCTGACTTTCAGGCCCTGTACAAGCAGGGAGTGAAGGCTAAGACAGAGCTATAAACTACCTGAGCATTGGAGACATACCCCAACACACACACAGAGTCTCTCAGCAAAGGGTGGAAGTTTTATAGGTTCAAGGCATGTAAGACAATCTCTGACCTATTGTTGTTTGACTGCTAAGCTAACTAAGCAAAGGCTCAACTTCACACTACAGGGAACAAATACTTTACAGAATTAGTTAATAAATATCATTAAACAAGCACCAGCAACAGCAAACTCCAGGAGTAGAGGTGGAATCTGATACCCAGAGTTGCCACATCATATCAAAAATGCTCAATTTGAAATAAAATATTAGAAGATATGCAGATAAACAGGAAAGGAAGGTTCATATGAAGGAAAAGAGCAGTCATAGAAAAAGTTCCCAAGGAGACCAAATGAACAAATATTTTAAACCAGTTATTATATATACATATAAATATATATATACACACATATATACATTCTAAGAATTAAAGGAAACCATGTCTAAAAAATTAAAGCTGATCTAACATCTGAACAAAGAGCAAAAACCACATGATCATCTCAACAGATGTAGAAAAGGTATCTGACAAAATCCAGCATTCCTTCATCATAAAACACTCCACAAACTTGGAATAAAAGGGAACTTACTTAACCTGACAAGGGTCATCTGTGAAATATCCACAGCTAATACCACACTTGGTGAAAGACAGAATGTTTTTCCCCTACAATCAGAAACAATATTGTCCACTCCTGCCAGATATATTTACTATTGCACTGGAGGTTCTAACCAGGGCAATTAAGCAAGAAAAATAAATAAAAGGCATCCACATTGGAAAAGAAGAAGTAAAATAATCTCTACTTGGAAATGGCATAATACTGCATATAGAAAATCCTAAGGAATCCACTAAAAAATTAGTATAACTCATGAATGAGTTCAAAAAAGTTTCAGGACACAAGATCAATATAATAAAAAAGGTCAGTTGTATCTCTACGCACCTGCAAGGAACAATCCAAAAATAAAGTTAAGAAAATAATTTTACTTATGATAGCATCAACATAAAATGCTTATGAAAAAATTTAACAATTGCACACAGTGTACAGTATGAGACTTTTTAACTGAAAATACAAAACATTCCCAAAGGAAATTAAAGATGATCTAAATGAATGAAAAGATAACACAGGTTTTGGGATTAAAGGACTTATTATCATTAAAATGTTAGTATTTCATAAATTAATCTACAGATTCATCACAATCTTTATCAAAATCCCAGCTGGCTTTTTGGCCAAAATTGATAAACTGGTCCTAAAATGTGTGAAAATACAAGGACCCCATAATAGCTAAAACAATTTTAGAAAAAAACAAATTTAGAAGACCCATACTTGCAACTTCAAAGCTTACTGCAATGTTACAATAATAAAGATAGAATGCAACTGACATAAGGATACACACGTAAATGAATGGAATTGAAGTGAAAGTAAAAATAAACCTCTACCTTTATATTTAACTGATTTTTAACAAGTGACCTAAGATCATGTAGTGGGGAAAAAACAGTCATTTCAACAAAGAGAGCTGGGACAACTAGATATTCACATGTCCAAGAAAGACATAGTTGTACCCCTTTATTATATCACACACAAAAAACCTCAAAATGAATCATAGGCCTAAACATAAGAGCTAAAACTATAAAACTCTTAGAAGAAAACACAGGAGTAATCTTTGTAACATAAAATTAGGCAATGTTTTCTTAGATACGATACCCAAAAGCAAGATCAACAAAATAAAAATTAAATAAATTGGACCTTGTGATGGTGCATTTTAGGTGTCAACTTGACTGGATGGAGGGACGCCTACATGATTGGGGAAGTATTGTTTGTGGGTGGGTCTGAGAGGGTGGTTTTGGAGGATATTGGCATGTGAGTTGATAGACTGAGTGGGGATGATTTGCCTCAATGTGGGCAGGCACTGTCCAATCAGCTGGGAACCCGGATGGAATAAAAAGGGGAAAGAAGGATGAATTTGCTCTCTGTCTCTCTTTCCACTGGAGCTGAAATATCCCTTTACTTCTGTCCTTGGACATTAGAACTTCAGGTTCTTTGGCCTTTGGACTCTGGGATGTACACCAGAGGCCTCCTGAGGCTCTCAGGCCTTTGGCCTTGGACTGAGAGTCATGCTATTGGCTTCCTTGGTTCTTAGGCGTTACACTTGAACTGAACCATGCTACCAGCACCCCTGGATCTTTAGCTTGCAGACACACTACCATGAAACTTCTGAGCCTCCATATGTGAGCCAGTTCTTCTAATATATCCTCTCTCATGTATCTATATCTACATCCATCTGTATCTGTATCTACATTTATATATCCTATTAGTTCTGTCTCTCTGAAGAACTTTGACTAATGAAGACCTCATCAAAATTAAAAACATTTTGCTGCAAATGATACATCAAGAAAATAAAAAGGCCACACACAGTATGGGTGAAAACATTTGCAAATTATATATCATACATCTGATAATTATGTATCATACATCTGATAAGGGACTTTATCCAGAATATGTAAACAAGTCTTACAACTCAACAAGAAAAAGATGAATAGTCAAATTAAAAGTGGGCAAAAAAAACTACCAACATAGCAACACTCTGTTTCTACAAAAATAAATAATAAAAAAATTAGCTGGGCATGGTGGTTTGTGCCTATAGTCCTCGCTACTCAGCAGGCTGAGGCAGGAGGATCGCTTGAGCCCAGGAGTGGAAGGCTGCAGTGAGCTATGATTGTGCCACTGCGCTCCAGCCTGGGAAACAGAGCAAGACCCCATCTCTTAAAAAGAAAAGTGGGCAAAAGATTTGAATGGATATTTTTCCAAAAAAAAATGTAAGAATGACTAAGACATATATAAAAAGATTCTCAACATTGCTAGTCATTAGCGAATGCACATTAAAAACACAGATGCCACTTCCCATCTTCTAAGATGGCTATAATAAAAACAACAACAACAGACAATAACAAGGGTAGGCAAGGACGTGGAGAAATTGGAAGGCTCATAGGTTTTGCTTGTGGAAATGTAAACTGATGCAGCCACTTTTGGAAACAGTTTGATAGTTCTCAAGATGTTAAACATAGAGTTGCCATATTCAGCTATTCCACTCCTAGATACTATAGGAAACAAAATAATGCCCCTCAAAGATGCTCACCTCCTAATCCCTGAAACCTGTGAACGTGGTATCTTACATGAAAAAGGAAGCTTCCACTGTGATTCAGTGTCTTGAGATGGGGAGATGAACCTGGATTATCTGTGTGGGTTGAATGTAATCACAAGCATTGTTATAAAGGGAGGTTGGGGGGATCAGAGTCAGAGAAGGCCATGTGACAATGGAGGCAGAGAGAGATGTTACAGCAGAGGCAGAGATCAGG